GCAAATGGAAATCTAAATTCATTGCAAGTAGTATTCGAAATATAAAAGTTTGTTCTGGCTTTTGCCGAACTATCATATAACTATACGGCAAGTTTCTACTTTGTCGTATGTCGTCTTTGGTTCGAGGTCTTCTTCCAATTCCGGGTAGTTCTATTATGGTTCGGAATATTGGCTCTGATCTATTGAGTCGGAGAGACATTTCAATTAAATTATTGTCGTATAACATTTTGTAAATGTTTTTGTCTAATTTCTAATCTATTTTTGGTTAATTCTAATCTAGTAAGGTCTTGTTCGAGACTTATGGTCGCACCAGATGAGTTAGGACTGGGGTGTATAACTCATAGAGTAATTTCGGATAGGGTACACCGTCTGCTCGTCACGCTATCTTATTTTCGGCCGGATAGATTCGTGCAACTTCTTAGTCTAATACCGATCCTAGTCTTACTCTTATACTATCTAGTCTCAGGTTGTTTAACTAGTCTCTGCTAGGCTCAATAGATCTAGGGTATACTGGTTTATTGCGGCTGCTGAAGTGCTCGGGAGAGTCCAACTAATTTCTAAGTTAAATTCAAATCTCTCTGGTGCTGAAATTACAAGTAACTTCAGCACTTACAAATAAGTGGGTTGTTAGTTAGATGGATCATGATTGGTTAATATTAAATACTTTACATTGGTAAAACATTTAATTTATCCAATCATAAAATATAGTTTAGATCAGGTTCCAGTATTTATGAGCACAGACACTTCGTGTTATTGCTTTTTATAAAGGCGTAATTAACGAATGGTCGGGGGCGATCATAAGGAAAACTGAAAAAAAAAACGACAATTTGTCGCAGAGCAATTTACCTTTACAAATAAAACTATATTTAAAGTAAAACACTCATGTTTACGGATTTACTAAGAACTGCATTCTGGTTAGATTGATTTGGGACGAAGTTTTGCTTCTTTTTGTAATTGCGACTTAAGTCACCATACTGTGTATAACACTTCTGAGGTGAAATACTTCGAACTTCCATAAAAGTGCTATACTTTACAAAAGTTAGTCTTTATGCGGATTTAAAGGCGTTTGAGGTTTCGTACATTTTTAACTATTCAATCGAAAATCAATTACCATGATTTTGGTTAGCTCTTTAAAATTACAAGCCCATATTTTGGAGAAAAAATAAATAAAATTATATCGTTAAAATAGTAAAACTATTTATAATTACCTTGTATTACATACATTGATGACTCTTGCCTGTAAGAACGAGCTTTTGTTCAGTTCCTTGTTGTTAAACTTTGTCTAAAGCTTTTAACACTTCCACATTTGTGATAGCTTCTGAGTATCATGAACTGAAGAAATTTTTGAACTGAAAAAGATCAGACTTCGGCTGTACGTTTTTTTTTCAACTATCTAACTAAAAATCACTGCACTAGTTGTCATCCGCAAGGATTCCAGCTGCTTGGAAAACTCCTGGTAAAAAAAGAAAACAACAGCATCGAAAATAGAAAAAATGAATAGCAAATTTTTGTTCATATAATTTTTCGAACCAATGGACGGAAAATAGAGCAAAACAAAGCAAATATTGTAACCCTTAACGTTCAATCTCTCCGATATTTCTGATAGCTTCACTGAAGAAAAAACGAGCTACAAAACCTTTAATTGAAACTTGGCTCAGCGACAACAACTTCATCGAATCGCATTCATTATACAGTGTTCATTTAAATTATCCGACAAAACGAATATTATTTGAAATTCAAACTGGGTGGACTTGAGACAAAAAGTGACGAAGACAAAACTTGATTAGAATTTTATCTAAACTATTATTAAGCAATTTATTTTGCAAAAATCGGGCCCAAAACTTTACCCTGAAAACGAATATTTTATGGTTAGTCGAGTAAAAATAACGTCAAAACAACCACGTCAATTGCTAAAAAATGTATATCGAAGTGAGCCTTTTGTGCAACCCAACAAAGTTTAAGAAGGCTATAATAAACAAATTATCATATTTATTTTCTTTTGATAGCCAAAAAATGACAACTTTACAATACAAAATACCAATTTTTATTTAAAATTTAATTTGAGAAGAACATACATTGAGAATGAGGTGTAACACTTTTTTAACCAGAAAGACCTTGCTTCCAGTTATTAAGATCTTGAGAATGATTTCGAGAACATTCTGATCAACTCTTATGAAGCACAAGCGAATCGTATTTTCTTTGGATGTAAACTAGATTTTGATTGATTCCTTCGATTGAATGACTAAGCCTGACAAGAAATTTTTTCGGTTAGATATTTCAATTTCAATGCAGACAAGGCAGTATTGGAGCGTACTTGTAAAGAGGAAGTGAAGTGTCAGCTTTTATCGTTTTTAAATTTATGGATATGTTCAATTGTAGCAAGCAGATATATTCTAAAAAATTCAATTGGTCATGATCAACTCATTTAAGACCCAAAAAATATGGCTGGTATAAAACTAGGTTCTGTGACCAAGGTGCCATCTTATCCGAACTTCAGTAATGAAGCTTTGTAAAAATTTGTGTTATCGTTGAGCCCGAAATTTAATATGATCAGAAAAAATAATCGAACTATGCTGATATTAGCGAAACTAGAGAATATTGGATAACCCTCGGATCAGCAAAAGCGTTCAATATAAAAAAAAACCAGCAAAAAGATAAGGCTTATACAATCATTATCTAAAATACACAGCGAATTAGTAAAAAAAAACTTTAGGAAACTGCGTATTTGATATAAAAACCAGCAGCAAAATTCGGGCCAAAATATTATTCGAAGCAAAATCAGAACAGCCGTTTTAAGTATGCAGTGAGTCTTCGGCTAAATCTAAATAATCATTTTCTCCTAAAATTTCGGCAAATGATATTAATTATCATATTACACAGAGGCCAAGCGGAGCTTCGAGCTACTTGTGATACCACGCACACATATAGCATTGCAAGCTGGCAGACAGAAAACGAAACAAAAGCCACTTAATCGAAAAAAAAAATATGTTTCAAAAAACCATAACTATTAACCAAAACAATATACCAATTCGACAAAAACACGTCCAAAAACACAATAAAGGGCGTTTAATAAGTATTCAGACACAAAAATTGATCAGCAACTAGGCCGGCCAAAGTTGTTAAGACTCCCGTAGAGCAAAATTAATTTCAATTGAAAAGCTTTCGAACGTTCCGAAAATCTAAATTTTTACGTTCCACCCTCCGGAAACACACAGATGCGTAAAAATCTATTTTTCTTTACAACAACGCTAAACTAGGTCACTTAGGCGAAAATACATAGCCAAAAACAATTGAAGCCAAACAAACCAGCGAAAAAAACTTAGTAAGTTTTCAAATTACAGTAAAAATCAAAACTCTTTCAGTTACAAAAAAAAATTAATTACAGCCCAGCGAAAATACGTAACAAGGCAACCAAGCCGACCAAATATAAGCAGACACAACACGTGGACAATTTTTTGGAACTGAGTATTTCCCTTTTGAATAAAAAGAAGTTCTGACCAGGACCTTCACCACCTCAGGCGAAAGTTCTCAAAAACCATGTCTGCCTGAAAAGCTAGTAAAATTTGATTTTGATTTAAGCCAAACTATCATATGTTTTTCTGTAAACATTTTGTAAAAAAAAAGAAAATTCCGTGATGCGGCAACTAAGCAAACAAAACATGATCAGAGTAATGGTAGCCCGAAAAATTATTTGAAACGGAATATTTTGTCTTCAAAAACTTCAGACATTACTTCTTAAAGAACTGTCAGTAGTAACAGTAGACTGGTAGCTTAACTTAAATTTGCACGTGTGCACGTGAATGAAGTGTAGTGATTAGAGTGATTTTGTTAAACAAGTTGTTAACCAGAAAAAAGTCTTTATTCCAATTTGATAACGCTTGCCTATTGCTAGCGTAAACATTGGAAACAAACCCTCCGAGACTTTTCGCGTTAACAGGAACAAAACGCTGCAACGACGGCCTCAAAACATAAGTTGCATAAGACTGCTGTCGCGCAATCATGGACACAGAGGCTATGCTGCACTTCGCACATAACAGCAACAAACAGGCAATCAGGGAACTTGAGTTTCCAGAAAATACAATGATAGCCGGTTGATGCTCAAGTAGCAGAGAGTGTTCCGACCATATTCTTTAAAAAAAAACTTTTTTTAAATAAGTGTCGTTTTTTGGGCGTGGTGTGATTAGAGAACTATACAAACGCGTAGAAAGTTAGCTAATTAGGCATAGTTGACAAATTTATGTTCAAAAAATGAATGAAACGAACACACTGAAAAACGGAATTTGCGATCAAGTTCTTCGTATACAAGAACTTTCAATTTTTTGAAAACCTTTATTGCCGAGGAAGCGCTAAATGAAGCTTTCAAAACTAGTTTTGTTTTAATTAAAATCAAGTTTTCTTAACCTGAAGACTAAATATTAGATAAAATTTCATATAACGAAGGTGTATAGTTATTCTCGAAACTGGGACAACCTTTTGAAATTTTTTTTCGTGCCGTTCGAATCACGACTGAGGAGTCTTCGATTTAATATACCACTCGACCCATCATTTGCGGTGCTTAATTTTGCGGGGAAAGACTTCCGAATACACACACCCAAATTACAAAGTTCTCCCCATTTACACAAGTCAGAACAAAAAGAGAAAAGACACCTGCTATTTGCTAAAATATATAAAGACACGAACAAACTGATCACAAAAATTGATTACATAAAGTTGCGACTTATGTGTAATTGAATAATTGAACATAAGTATTGTTTTTGCGATGAACAATGAACGAAATAGCTCAAAAAAGTTATCACCTAGTAACAAGCTCAGCTTTGTATTCGTGTTTAATCTTGACTTTTCGGTATTTTTGCAAGAAAATAATTTTTATTTTGGAAGCCAGATAACGTATGATAAGGCTATAAAATTAAATCATTAAATGAATCTATAAACAACCCTAGGCCATTTTTCCTTCAAAAACTGATAGGCTGATTCAAAAACTGTACCGAAATTAAAAAGACTTCTTCTAAAGTTTATTAGTACCACTTATGAATAAATCTCATAATAAAGTGGTTTATAAGGACAAGGAGCACTAGCATGCTATTAGAACATTAAATGCTCACACATCACACTACATTGAGGAAAATCACCAAGTTTACACAGCTTTAAATAACTGATTAAGAGAGGGTAATGGAGCGGCTTTGAGATTCTCCAAGTCTGGTAGATTGTTTATGTGATTCTCAAGCTGAATTCGCATATTGCAAACTTGCTCTAACTTTTCTTTATATTCTTTCAAAGTTGCCTCCGAGTTAACTAGCTCTTTCTGCTGAGCGGAAATAAAATTTCGGATCCAAGAAGCAGCTTTTCTTCGCTCCTCCATTTCGCTAGCTAATCGGTCGTTGTAATCGGTGAGAAGAGCGCACGCTTCGTCCACCGTTTGTGATAACTTCTCAGCTGCTTGGACATCATTTATGGTATCAAGAACACTTGTATCTTGGACTTCAGGAGGTAATTTGGAAATCTTTTCTCTTATAGGTCTGTCACCTGAAGCTGCTTTCGTGTCTAAGGTTGTCAAAAGGTCAATCAAAGCTTCGTGGTCGGGAACAAATGTCGTATCTGCGTAATAATCGTCATCTTCATTATTGGCTGCCAAGCTAGATTGGTTCGAGTTATCGTCCGCAGTTTCCAATTTCTTTTTCTTGGCTGGTGGTCCACTACCGCCGCCACCCATCTCTACTTTAATTGAGTCTATGAAATCTCCGGGGAAGACTCCACGACTTCTCCATATATCCAAAACGCGAAGCAAGTTTTTCTTTTCACTGTCTTTGCAGCGGACAAACGTGAAATGAAACGCACCCGGTAAGACATCTTTGAAATCATCAGCAAACGCTGAAGTTTTCTTGCGACTATTTTGAATGACATCATTTGCAAGAAATATAAGTGCTAAGCGATCTTTCAGCGAATCTTTCAGGACTTGCTTCTTCCACAATTTGACAATTTTTTTGGAATATTTTCGATGATGAATAATATACGCCGATAAAGTCTCAATGCTCTGCTGCGTGTTGTTAAGTTCGCTCAGTTTTGCGCTGAGCTCTTCTTCTTTAAATCCCATTTTATTGAAGCAGCTTGAATGATACCTGAAAATGTGATCAACCATGTAAAAATTAAGTAATTGAGCAGGTTTTAACACAATGGCTAAGCAGAGCAAGGTGCGATACTCAAGCAAATATCGCCCTGCAAGAAGCCAATTAAGTTGAAAACATTGACAACTAAGAGAACTTGCAATAGGGAATTTCACCCTTTTACAGTCCAGAGTTCATCTCAGTTTGTTATATATACTAGCGCATGACTCGCACATACGGTGCTTCAAATAGATCTTTGAACTTTAAAAGAGCTTCCTATATCAGGCGTTTCTACTTCAAAAAACGCCACATCTCGGAAAGGGATTTGAGCAGTAAAATTTCGAGGGAAGAACTGCAACCAGTGAGTGTATCCTGACTGCACCCCTTTGAAATAGGCTTGAGAATTTCAAGTTCCATTAACTTTTTTATATCTCACTTTTTTGAACAACAAATTAAAACAAAAAACATAAAAAAGCAATGTTCGAAAACCAAAATTATTTGAGCAGTCATGCTCCGAGGCCAGATTTGCAACGCGTGAATGTACCCTGATAGCACCCCATTATAGGTCAAGAAAATTCAAGTTCGGTGAGTTTTTTTTTATATCTAAGTTTTTTGAGAACAAAAAAATGAAAAATCATTAAAAAACGCCATATCTCGAACACCATAAAGATTTGAGCAGTCATACTTGGACGCTAGATTTGCAACCCTTGAATGTACCCTGATAGCACCCCTCTATATGGTTGAGAAATTCAAGTTTTGTTGGTTTTTTTAAATCTAACTTTTTGAAAACAAAAATAATAAAAAAAACCCATATCTCGGAAACCAAAAGAATTTGATCAGTCAGACTTGGACGCTAGATTTGCAAAACTTGATTGTGACCTGACAGCAACCAAGTATAGGGTTGATAAATTCAAGTTCGATAAGTTTTTTTATATCTAGGTTGTAAAAAAATGATGATACCATTAAAAAACGCGATATCTTGAAAACCATGAGGATGTGAGCCAGATTTTTAATCCCTGAGTGTACCCTGACAGCATTCCTACTACAGAATTGATAATTTCGAGATTTGGTAAATTTTTTTACATCTCCACTTCCCGATTTAGGAAGGTATGATAACATCATTATGCCCTACTGAGAGGAGCGTTGTTTTTGCATACACAATTTTCAATCCGGCCGGGAGATGTGCATATCCCGGGGATAACACATAATGTAAAAACGGAAACTTCCTTGTTAGTAAATTGTAAAGATCATAACTCGAACAAGTTTGGCAAAGATCATTGCTAATTAGTGATGTCTGAGAACTGTCAACGCATTAAATAACTTAGACAAAAAAGCGGGAGAAAACTTCACTTTCTGGTGTTAAATAAAGCTGACAAAAAGTACAAAAATCCGTAATCTGGGTAAAACCAAAAACTACTCGGATTAAGGATAGAAACGGGGCAACTCGAGAAAATCATAGAAAATGTACATTTAAATTAATCAGTTGGTTTATGAATTTTTCCTTGATTAACCCTTTCAATGATAAACTCCCGCAATTATGACAAAAGTCTGCTGTAACATTCGCCCGGAAGATACATATCGACGGAAAATAAAACTAAGTCCTAAGACGACTGGCTAACGTCTAAACAGCTTTATATGCTTTTCACCGTCTCTACCAAGCCAGTACTTTCGGTGGTCTTTTCTAACATCGGGTCGACAAAAAACGTTACTGCTTTCGGCTTCGGTCAAAACACTCAAATTAACTTAATTACATGCAGAAATAGTGAGCTCATGGCTGGGTCTCAGTATCCCCAGACCACGAGGCCACTCCTAAAAACAGGGCTACTACTATTTATTATATTACTTTTGTTTTTGTTCAGTAGATAAAAATCATCATCTCCATCGAAGATGGATCAACCCTTTCCCCCAACTCCTAGCTTCTCATCCTTATCAAAATGAATCCAGTTGTGAATTAAATTCAATTCAGGACATGACAGGAAGCTAAAAATTTTTATAAAATGGTAAAAGTCTCAATCCCGAAACCCTTCCGGATTCTTGAATCCACTGAATCAAGCACGTTAAACTTGATTTCTCCGTAACCCGGAAGGCTGTATTCCACCCTTCACCGTTGTTCGCAACGGCCTTGCAACTATTGTAGCGACACAATAGTTGCAACTCGGAACGTTCTCTGTCAACTCCGTGATTCGTTGTCGTTTCTTAACCACAATTTCCGTTCTTCTCGCAATCGCTACTAATGTTGTTCTGTTGCTTTTCAGCTTTTCTGCCAAAATGGCCGTTTCTGACGTTTCTCAGAAATGTTACGTCGTCACTTCGAAAATTTAAAATTTCAAAATACTAGAAAATCTTAAACCTTCACCGTTCTACTAATCATCCGAATAACGTCGTTAATCCTTCAAAATCACTAACTCGGAAGGTTCACTGCGAAAAATTCGAAATCTGCAGAGTTTGCATTTTTTCCATTCTGGTCGAATGTCACACACTCCCCGGACAGTCCGGTCAATGTCCCCATTGAATCACGCAATGTTCGTAAAATAGATACAGTGTCATCGAACAGAATTTGTAACATTCGCCCGGAAGATACATATCGACGGCAAATAAAACTAAGTCCTAAGACGACTGGCTAACGTCTAAACAGAGCTTTATATGCTTTTCACCGTCTCTACCAAGCCAGTACTTTTCGGTGGTCTTTTCTAACATCGGGTCGACAAAAACGTTACTGCTTTCGGCTTCGGTCAAAACGCTCAAATTAACTAGATTACATGCAGAAATAGTGAGCTCGTGGCTGGGTCTCAGTATCCCCAGACCACGAGGTCACTCTTAAAAACAGGGTTACTACTATTTACTGTATTACTATTGTTTTTGTTCAGTAGATAAAAATCATCATCTCCATCGAAGATGGATCAACCCTTTCCCCCAACTCCTAGCTTCTCATCCTTATCAAAATGAATCTAGTTGTTAATTAAATTCAAATCAAGACATGACAGGAAGCTAAAAGTTTATATAAAAGGATAAAAATTTCAGTCCCGAAACCCTTCCGGATTCTTCAATCCACTGAATCAAGCACGTTAAACTTGACTTTTCCGTAATCCCGAAGGCTGTCTTCCACCCTTCACCGTTGTTCGCAACGGTCTTGCAACTACTGTAGCGACACAATAGTTGCAACTCGGAACGTTCTCTGTCAACTCCTTGATTTGTTGTCGTTTCTTGACCACAATTTCTGTTCTTCTCGCAATCGCTACTAATATTGTTCTGTTTCCTTTTAGCTTTTCTGCCAAAATGGCCGTTTCTGACGTTTCTCAGAAATGTTACGTCATCACTTCGAAAATTTAAACTTTTAAAATACGGGAATATCCTGACCTTCACCGTTCTGCTGATCATCCGAATAACGTCGTTAATCCTTCAAAATCATTAACTCGGAAGGTTCACTGCTAAAATTTCAAAATCTGCAGAGATTGCATTTTGGCACATTCTGGTCGAATGTCACACACTCCCCGGACAGTCCGGTCAATGTCCTCATTGAATCACGCAATGTTCGTAAAATAGATACCGTAACATCGAACAGAATTTACAAAATGCACGAAATTACTTTTATCCACGTCACATCGACTCACTGCAGAATATAATTGGCATCATACCACATCACTATAGCCTTCAAACTCTTTCATTAATCTGCACATTGAGGATATGACCAAAGATAAAACATATTTTCTGACTTCCAATGTCAATGTCCCGATTAAAACTTTTTCTCTTAGATTTAAAAGGTGTTGGTTTGCAGGACAGTCCGGCCAACCAACAAGCTAAAATTATCCTACTATGCTCCTTCCCTTCGGAAATCTTGCTTGTTATTGTCCTGAATATTAAAATTAAAAAACTCTGTGGTTAGAAAGAACAATGAAACAATCTCCCTCTTCGAGAGATTACCCAAGCCTTGTATGTCACCACAAAGTGATCAGTTCTCCTAGCTGATTGAAAACAGTCATGCAGGCTGGAATATTTGAATATACTCCTTTACTTGAGCCTTTCTAAATAAATAGTAAGTGAGTGTCTCTAAAGCCACTCAACTAAAATCAAAATGCAAATTTATAAATGCAACAATTTCAAACTCAACTAAATGTTTCAGTTTTCAATTACAACTTGGTTGCTTGGTTTCTCACTTGAGTTTTTTCACACACATAAAATAATTCTGAGTTTTAACTTTTGCTTCACCACTCCTTTGTTCTCTTCTCTTTTCGTCGTTTAGAAGTTCTAAAACTTCTAAATTCTTCTAACTTCGTCTCTTTTTGCATCTTGTTTTTCGGTCATTCGTCAATGTTCCATTTCTTCCTCCTGTGATACTGACTCTGCACTCTCAGTCTCCGTATCCTGCAACACGTCGTTAGCTATCCTGAAGCTGCTGGAAGCCGTCCTCCATCACTTCTGCTCTTCTACCCTCTGTTTGCAACAAGGTAGGGGATCCACGTTAGATTCTCTGTTCCTGCAGAAGCTGTTGTGGAGACACAACGTCACATTTCTCTCCAAATCTTCCTTTAACATCTCTGCCTTCTCCTTTCCACTACGTTCACTTGTCCTGGAAATTATTTTCACAGCGGTGGTCACTGCATTCCGATGAGTCACGAGAGCTCGCTTGAAAGCTCCTGCTCCAATGTCCAGCTGTTATTCACTGTACACCCTGCCGTGCTTCGACATATGCTTTTTCGCATATTCATACAACCATGCAGTCATGTTAGCTCTGAACCATGGCATCAATCGTTTTCTTGCCCATATCTTCTTCACTTCCATCGGAATGTTTAGAGTTTTGCACATTGTCTCAAAAAGATCTAAATCTTTCAGACAATCTAATTTCCGCAACTGTTCTTTCGTCGGTGCCTCCTGTCTATTATTTTCTCTCACATGAGCTTCCAGCCATCGTATCGCCATCATAACTCCCACTATCACTATTGTTATGGGCTGTGATGAATCTGGTAAACCCATGGAGAGCAGCTCTCCAGAGTCCCAGATCAACATCAGATTACTACGCTAGGGATACCACCAGGTCTGCAGCAAGCAGTGGCAAGGAAACTCGTCATGTGTCAACATGATGCTCCTCCAATTACGTTTTCCCGAAGCTTCCAGTAATGGTTCCACTTCCATCATCACTCGGTGGACTTCATCATTCTCATCTACTGCATTGTAATCTGTGACAGTTGATCCCCTCTGTTTCTGTCTCTCAAAGTCACTGAAGTTCCCGCTCCCATATCCCATGAACTTCTTTCCTAGTATTGACTCCAATTCTTCCTTGGTTCTCTCTGGAACTGCTGAGAACATCTTACATAGCAACTCGTAAGACTTCTCGGACATTCTCGCCAGTCTCACACACTTCGGCACTGAGAAGGCTTGATCCACGATCGTTCTCGTACTCTTTATGTCCACAGCCACGAAATGTACAGGGTATCTGCTCTTGCACATTGGAGCCAATGTTGAACCCACCAGATATCGTGCTCCTGATGGTCTACAATAAGTCTCACTGTGTCTATTGTTCATTTCCGTCTCGATTGCTTCCCTCCATTTTCCTATGTATTTCTGCTCAGTCTGCAGAACTTCTGGGAATACTTCTACACTGATGGCTGTGACCATCTCATGTTTCTGTTCTAGATTCAATAGTGACTCTAAAGAACCCAACATAATGTAGAATTCTAGTGCAGTCACTAGATTCGCCTCGGTTCCTCCATGGCAATCTGCTATCAGTTCCGTTTCTGTTCTTGCCTTCATCACTACGTTTCCAAACAATACCGTCAATTGCTTGTGCTGTTTCTCCAGGGTCTTCACACAGTCCAGACTTCCACAAACGTGACCCTCCAGTCCACAGACTTCCGCCAGACAGCTACCAGGTTTGACCCAGTCTTCTGGTCCCCAGCCAGGCAACTCCACTTTATGTTCTCCGTTGCTCTTAGAGGCCGTTATCATCACATTATATATGATGTTGAGGTCACGCAGGTTACAGTCTGCATTCAGTTCCCTCTGCACGTCTTGTGTCGCTCGCAATATCGAGTCATCGTTGGGACTGGGACACCATGATGGCCTCATCAATTCCCACACTGCCATCAAGCTCGTTCTCAGTAATTCATCTGAGAATCCCAACCCAAACTCCACTCTTTTGTCGGATTTTGGTACTGAAGGTGCAGTCACCTCTTCTTCCAAGACCAGTCCCAATCTGGCCTGTGGATTGTTAACGCTCTTAATCGTTACAACTCTGGACGTCCAGAATCTTAGCAACACCGCCTGCTCGTAATCGAAGAAGCAATCGCGTATGTCTTCACTCAGGAAAGGGTTGTACGCTATCCCTATGATCCCGGATACGTAGCTATACGATTTCTTCTTGATTGGTCCACAGTATTCACTGGATTTCGGCAATGCCCCCATAGATTCTTTAGCGAGTCTCAGCTCCTTGTTTGAGAATCTCCTGATTTTGTCTATCTTTCTCATGGGTTCTAATTCCTCGGGTTCTTTCATGTTCACCCTCATCGGTTTACTTTGCTGCATATCCAGCAGTGCTAGCAAGAATAAGGCTTTCGCTCGCTCATCGCCTTCCCTCAACATCTTAACACAAGTGTTCAATGCAGGTACTGAAATCTGCTCTATCAGAAATCGAATGAAACAGAGAGCGTCTCTCCGCTTCGCACACGCTACTGCTGCTCCTTCTTGGACTATCAGATCCCTCAGGTTCGTCATAAGGAAAACCTTCTCCTCTTTTGACCTCTTCCTTTCTTCTGAATCATATTCTTCGCGAGTCAGTCCCATCATGCACCAGGCGAACCTGAGTTGTAACTCTGTTCTTACGTAAGGTACTGCCACG